TTCTGACACAATCATTGTCCTGACTAGAACCCGAGGAGTTCACTCCTAAAACACTGGTGCATCGGCCGTGGTCAGGTAGTTGTGTTAGCTGGTTCTGAGCTATTTTGTTATTTTTTTTTCGGAATTTCTGGTTTTGTGCTATTTTTCGAATTTCAAAATTTTTGCAAGTGATGACGTAGCGACAAAGTGTTTCCTTGAATTTTGAAAGTGAGACGGCTCATTTAGATTATATTCCTCATCGGTGCCATAGCCAAAACTTGTTGTGAAATTGTGAAGTGCTATTATTTGAGTGAAAGTGCATCTGCCTACGAGCATCAGTCAACGTCAACAAGGTGGACTTCCTGGACAACACACGGTAGGCCAACAACTCCAGTGTCTTCTCTGTGTACTTTTTCTATCTATCCGTAGTCAAAATGAAGCATGACCGAGATCAAAGTAAATTCATTTCTGACTCAAAATAATTCAGCACCCGCATTTGTAGTACTTAATACAGAGAATTGGGATAGAGCCGATTCAATTTCAATAGCTAGTCAGATAATTGGGAAGATAAATAGTTTCCCTCATGCTTTAATCCCTAACGATTTAAATAAAAGTCAATATCAGGACTATCCAGATTTTATTGTAACTCATGCGCTAAAAGCTGATAGTCTTCCGTCAGTTAAAGTTCTAGCAACTGAAGCAGAACTTAGAGATTATCAATACCAAAATTGTAAAATCTTAATTGAAAAGGTTTCCGAGTTTGTGCTCAACGAAATTAAATCTTTGCCTGCTAAGTCAGTTGCGGAAAAATTAGAAGTTGTTTTTCGGTCCGTAGCAGCTCATATTACTAAGAAAGAAAAGGAAGAAAAAGAGAGGAAAAAGAGCGAAAGGGAGCATAGAGAGAAATTAGAAAAAGAACGTAAAGAAAAAGAGCGCAAAGAGAAAGAAGATAACGAGCGTTTAGAAAAATTAGAGAAATATAGACTCCTTCAGAAAGCACTTGAGAAATTAGAAAAAGAACTTAATATGACACCACCGCCTGCTAACCCGATCAAAGATCTGCCTCCCTCGCTTCAACCAACAATACGGCCATTTGATCCTGAAAATGTTGTGCAATGGTTGAATCATTGCAAGCAGGTTTATAGTGTTTATGGAGTCCCAGATGAGGAGATGATTCCACTATTAGGTCAGTTTTTACCAAAAGAATGGACCAGTTTGCATGATTCACTCAAAGGGAAAACATTTAAGGATTATTCTGCGGCATTTGTGCGGGTGGCAGAACCCAATAGCATCATCCAGTCGGTTCGGTTTAAAATCGCTGACATGCGGATAAAACCAACGGAGAGTGTACAGTCCTTCGTAGTAAGGGTTCATGAGCTTGCTAAAACAGACCCGACTATTTCGGAAAAGGAAGTAGTTCAGTTATTGCTTACTCTAATGCCAAAGGAGGACGCAAGACTGGTGGCATGCTCCATTTGTGCTACAGTAGAGGAACTGCTAGAAAACCTTTGTATATACAAAGGAAATCTTGCCTTGATTGAAAGTAGAAATGTATCTGAAAGTAATGTTCAAAAAGAGATAAAGGGACTTAAGAAATATATTGATTCGAAATTAGCCTCAAATGAAAAAGAGAGTAAAGTTCTTGCTGTTCAGAATGAAATGTCAGATTTGGAGAATAAATTGAGTCAAATGCAGATGGCTATCTCTACTATCGCTGATGGATTCAGCATGCTTGTTCAACAGAAGAACAATAGGGGTCGCGACAACGGCTATAATCGTGGTCATGGTCGTGATAACTGGAGAGATAACTGGGATAGGAACTACTATAGGGCAGGAAGGCGTCGATCGAACTATCGATCAGAGGATGAATTCAGGAGAGAAAACTGTGAGGATTGGGACCAATCTGGCCTGGAGACTGGCGAGTTGCACGTCTATCGAGATGGTTCTCAAGGGAACTACCATCAGAAGAGTAGGAGTTACTCAGGGGATAGACGGGAAGGAAAGTGTAAAGTCTGTGGAGAAAATGGACATTACGCTTT